GACCGTAGGGATTGGATCCCCAATTCTGCCCTGACTGCTGCATTACTTGTGCGCTTGGAGCATCCTAGGATGATTTTCGCTGCTTTCATCTGCGCCGCCTCGAGTTCTTTCACTACCTTCTTATTTCCTTCCCATACTTCTCCGGCGTACTCTAGCGGCGGTACGATTACGCTCTTCAAAACCGTCAATTTGATGCGTGTATCAAGGTGCCGGTTTGCGAGTATTGGGTGCAGCTTCCCTGCTCGTGCTTTGCCCTTTTCCGCTACCTTGCACATGTGTGCATTCCACGAGCAATCTTTTGCGATCTCTACTCCGAGGTATGTGTACTGGTCCACTACTGCAATCTCCTCGATCCCCCACTTCCATCTATGTTCTACTGGTTCCTTCCTGCCCTCGTTACATACCATGGCGGCACTCTTCGCAACGTTGGCAGACAATCTCCACTTATCAGTAAACTTCTTCGCCGCGTCCATTTGCAGTTGCAGTCCCTCAGGGGTGTCCGACATACCAACAAAGTAATCCGCAAACAGCATTCCTGACACCGAAGTTTCCGTGTCCCCTACTTTTACTCCCTTCCGGACTGCCTCTACGACTTCCAACAGATCGTTGATGAACACCTGGAACAATGTTGGGGACAGCGTGCAACCTTGTGGGACCCCTTGCTCAATGTCGAAGAATTTAGACAGTTCTCCGTCTAGCATGACCGCGCTTTTCGTACACTCTGTCATCTTCTTCAGCACCCTCCACATTTTCCCCTTGATCCCGTACTTGGACAATTGTTTCCACAGCCCATTTCTCCATACGGTATCGTATGCCTTTTTCACGTCCAGGAAGAAGCAGTACGTCCGCTTTCCCGCCCTCTTTCTACCTTGGATGATTCTCCCTACCGTGAATGCGTGGTCTACGCACCCCCTCTTCTGTCGGAAACCTGCCTGGCCCTCACTAATGCTACAACGTTTCTTCTCCAATACTCCCACTATCCTATCGTTCAGCAGCTTACAAAACACTTTTCCTACTGTGTTCAACAGTGTGATACCCCTGTAGTTTCCTGGGTCAGTCTTGTCTCCTTTCTTAAACAGGTTCACAACCACTCCTTCCCTCCATCTACTTGGCGCATACTCGTTTTTCCACACCCAGTTGTACAGCAGTACCATCAGCTGGATCATCCCCTTGCCCCCAAACTTCATGAACTCGTTTACTATCCCATCCGCCCCTGCTGCTTTGTGGCACTGCAGCTTGTTCACACACGCCTCAACCTCGTCCTCAGTGAACTCCTTTTCTAGTTCTACGTTCCCAACGTCTGCCTTCGATGTCTCTTCTTCTTTCTGGGCCCATGCGTCCACCTCCTTTCTTAAACACTTGGTCAAAAATCTTCATTCTCAGAAGGCACTCCAAGTCTCTAGTAGTGTCCTGCTAGAACTTCCCTTTTTCCCTTCCCACTGCTGACTAGTCCACCGTTCACACCTCGCAATGTTGCTACCCCTGTATCCCCCCCTTGCGCGGTCTTTTTTACCATCCCACTAATCCCTTCCCACATCTGCTTGACGTTCCCCTCCAGGCCTCCGTTGGCCTTCTGCACTACTTCGTCCCAAATGCTCCTTTTCTTCTTTTTCACTAGTCCCTTCACCTGTTTCCTCTTGGCCCTGTACTTTTCCCAACTCTCTTCAGACCCCTCACCCAGGTACTGCTTGAAGACTTCTCTACGTTCCCCTATTTCTTCTTTCAGCTCGTCATCCCACCACTTAACCGATACCCCACATCGTACCACCTTCTTTCCCACTACTCTCTCTGCCGTTGTGTTCACTATGGACTCCCATCCTTCAATCACCCTGTCCCCTGCTGCTTGTGCGTCTACCTTTCCGTCTTCGACGCTTCTCAACAGTTTCCTGAAGGGTTCTACACTACCAGCCAATCCCTTCTGGAATTCGTCGCGTGTCTCCTCGTCTCCCAAACGCTCTACTTTCCACCGGAACACTTTCCTCTTTTTCTTACTCTCCACCTTTCTAGATCGGCCGATGTTTGCCCATATGAGGAAATGGTCGGTCGAACCTATATCTATCGCACTTACGTGCAGCTCCGGGACCTGTGTGCTCCCCCTATCTACCAGGATGTAGTCGAGGATCGAGTATTCATTGCAAACTGCTCTCTGCCTGGTGAACTCCGGCTTATCGCTTTCCCTCCTACCGTTCAACACCATCAGCTCGTTGCTTCCCAAGAGTTCAAGTATCCTCACTCCGTTGTCATTCACTTTGTCTTCTCCGTGCTGCCCGATCGCCTGTCCTCTACTGCAAGCTTTCCCTACTCTGGAGTTGAAATCGCCCACCATGACAACTTCTCCCTTCCTACTGAACCTCTGGACATCTTCCCCAATTTGTCCGAAGTTCTCCTGCGCCTTGCTTGCGACTTTCTTCGACGACGGTGGGACGTATACGTTCCTAGAAACAAATCTTTCTCACCCCGCTCCCCAGGTATCTTAAGCCATAGGCTTTCCTCGAACTCCGTTTTCACCACTACTTCCACCACGTCAAACAAGTGTTCCTTGACCAGGAATCCGACTCCCCCCTCCCCCCTTTTCTTCGGGTCTAAGCCCTTTCTTGCCTTCCCTACCCACCGGTACTTCCCTATTTTGCTTACCACGTCCCCATCCTTCAGTTCCCACGTCTCTTGGATCCCCACTACATCCAGATCGCTTTGTTCTACTTGGTCCACTATTTCCAACCGCTTGCGCTCACTCCTTGCGAACCCGCACACGTTCCACGACCCCACTCTCAGCTTGTGCTTTTCCCTATTGGAGATTTTGCGCACTCTATCCTTCGCCTTCCGCTTCTTCTCGGCGTTCTGCTGATATGCCTGCTCGTCTCCCCCGCCCGGTCCCTTCTTCGCCTCTATCGCCCTCGCCTCCTGTCGCCTTACCTTCTCTGTTTCTATCATGTTCGCGACGCAAACCCTCCATCCAAACTTCCTTACGTAGTTCGACAGCTTCTCGATGTCAACCCCCAAGCACTCTTGACTGTCTCCCTTGGTCAATTTCACCCGGAAATGTTCATGCTCTCTGCCTACTTCTCCCCTTGCTAGGCAATGCAGTCCCTCCGTGTCACAACAGTTCTTGAACTCTCTCCTCGTCATGTCCCTTGGAATTCCAAACAGCAGCAGCTCCAACCTGTCTCCCTGCCACAGTTTCTGCTTCCATCCTCCCGGCTTCTTCACCATCCTCATGATCTCTACAGCAACTGGACCTCGGCCACTTGTTTTTCGTGTTTTTTCAGGAAGGTATACGGAATACTCGGCCTTCCCAGTCCGAGTGTCCGGTGGGGGTTGTGGTTCCTTTCAGTTCTTTTGCCGGCTCACCGACGCTAAATAGCGCCTCCAACATGGGCTCGTAGTCTAGATCCAAGTTCACACCTCCTGGCACAAGTACCCCAGTCTTGTGCCGGGCGTTCTGCTTAGTAAACACCCAGACGTCCCCCGACCACCCAATTTGTCATCTCCGAAGTCCCGCGGAAGGGGGGGGGGGGGGGGGGGGGGGG